GTGCTTTTGATACCATATACAAGAAATCATTATCAATGAGCTTATCTCTTGACCAAATTCCAGAGTATCTGATAGGGAAATTCTCTATCTCCCTGCAGTGGCTTAAGCTTTCTATCCTAGGTTAAATTATTCCAAAAATCATAGGATTTGAGGACAGATGATTTGGGGGATGGGGAGATTCCAGGTAGCCCTGGTAGGGGAGTAGGCAAGTGAAAAGAGTACAGTAAGAAAGTTGCATCTGTGAGAAACTGGGGCTCTATCCCATTGGTAAAGGTAAAATATAAGATACCAAGTTAAATTTGAATTCCAGTAAACACAATATGATTTTTAATGTATTTGTCACATATTGCATGGGTTATTCCTATGCCAAAATGTTATACCTTGTGTATTTGAATTTTAATTGTAACTGGCTTTCTGTATTTTTATTTTCATAATCTAGCAGCTGTATACTAGGGATTTAGAGAAGATGGCATAGAGTATATTTTAGTTCTCTCACTGGAGAGACAAGAAGAGGAAGCATTTTTCTTCCATCTTCCATTCCTTTTCAGTTGAGAGCTACTCCTGACTTCATCAACTTCCTAACATTTCCATTCTGCCCTGTGCAAGGCTGAGCTGACTCCTTGAGCCAGAGAAAGCTCCACATAGGACAACGTAGGTGCTTCTATCCAAGGACTAGAGAGAATTATCCAGGATGCAAAATCGAAGGAGGGATTTGCCATCATGATTGTGCAAGTGGAGGCTCAGTCTCTTCCTCTCACCCTGGTCCTGGCCGTGGACCTGGCTTGCAATAACAGGTCTTTGGCAAGCATGGAAACCTGCGATGGTGAAGCAAATGAATGAGGCACCAATAGCATCCACCATAGTCTTCCATGAGCCTATAGACAAGGATCACAGGACGAAGGATGCCAGGGAGAAATTGTGTTGCCTTCCTAGGGTTCTAAGGATCTTCCTTTGGCTCAGGGTTGCACATTTCATGAAGACCCTTTTATACTTGAAAAAGTGGACACTGGCTCATCACACTGTGTTCCCTTATGTTCCTACTTATTCGTTTTTCCTTCTTGTTAGCATTCTGCGGTTCACTGTTATCTAGCACATCTGATCTCCTCTGTAATAATTATGTCACAATTTCAGTCCAGGAGATATGACTGGTAGCTCTTTGGGAAGTACCCGCTCATCTTGGAAGACATGGGACCAGTGAAATATTCTGAACTGAAGGAGGAAGGCTTCTCTAATCTCAGTGACCAAAGTTCTCTTCTTCTGCCCTTGTTCAATTAAATATGTCATATGGCTAAACAGGTAGCAAGGTTTCTCCCCACCCCTTCTTTACTCCCACCCTGCTGTCTGCATATTAGTGGGTGTTGAATGTCTTACCCGTTCTGTGTGCTGCTTTTGGTCATCATCTATATCAGAGGTATCAGCCTGTTTTAGGCAGCAAAGTGTTTTTAGGCCTCTGTTCAATTCCCAGAAGGTACAGAAGAAGGTATTTTTTTTTTTTTTGACAGGCAGAGTGGACAGTGAGAGAGAGAGAGAGAGAGAGAGAGAGAAAGGTCTTCCTTTGCCGTTGGTTCACCCTCCAATGACTGCTGCGGCCGGCGCACCGCGCTGATCCGAAGGCAGGAGCCAGGTGCTTCTCCTGGTCTCCTATGCGGGTGCAGGGCCCAAGCACTTGGGCCATCCTCCACTGCACTCCCGGGCCACAGCAGAGAGCTGGCCTGGAAGAGGGGCAACCAGGACAGAATCCGGCGCCCTGACCGGGACTGTGCCGGCGCCGCAAGGCAGAGGATTAGCCTATTGAGCCACGGCGCTGGCCAGAGAAGGTATGGTTTTATTTCTATAGGTTTTCTAACAGGATACATTTCTTCCTGTTACTTAAAGTCCTATAGTTTCCATATCTTTACTTATAGACAAATGAATGGTCTTTTATCTGCATGGTATAGGAGTTTTAAGCTTGAAATCTGGACTCAATCAGAAATGAGTGTGGATCCTGCTCGCAACATTTGCTGCGTTTGAGATTTAGAAACTGGTAGTTAAACTGACCTTTTGGGGTACACGTTCAGCGATATGTACTGTGCTGGGTTGCATGAGTCAGAAGAGGATAATGAGCAATTTCTAAATCTCAATGGCTGGCCGGTGCCGCGGCTCACTAGGCTAATCCTCCGCCTGCGGTGCTGGCACACCGGGTTCTAGTCCTGGTCAGGGCGCCGGATTCTGTCCCGGTTGCCCCTCTTCCAGGCCAGCTCTCTGTTGTGGCCTGGGAGTGCAGTGGAGGATGGCTCAAGTGCTTGGGCCCTGCACCCCATGGGAGACCAGGAGAAGCACCTGGCTCCTGGCTTCGGATCAGCGCGATGTGCCGGCTGCGGCGGCCATTGGAGGGTGAACCAACGGCAAAAAGGAAGACCTTTCTCTCTGTCTCTCTCTCACTGTCCACTCTGCCTGTCCAAAAAAAAAAAAAAAAAAAAAAAACCTCAATGGCTGAAAACAAGATGGGGGAGTGGGAGATTAGACTGGCAGTTGCAATGCTCGTATTTCATATCAGAGTACCTGATTCCTCTCACTTCAGCTTCCCCCCAGTGCATATCCTGGGAGGCACCAGGTGATGCCTCAGGTAATAGGCCCCTGACACTCACGTGAGTGACTTGGATTGTGTTCCCAGCTCCTAACCCTGGTTCTAGCCCCGTCCAAGCCATTGTAGGCATCTGAGGAGTGAACCAGTAGATCAGAGAGCTCTCTCTGTCTCTCTCTCTCCCCGCCCCCTCCTTCTCCTTCCCTCTCCCCTTCATTCTTGTTTTCTGTCTTGCTGCCTCTAAACTGAATAAATAAAATTTTAAAAACAGCATAGGGTTACTTTTTACTGATACTGCTTGCTTCTTGTACGCCATTGGGGAATTGTCTCTGTCATTTTCACTCCGAGCAACATTCGTTAAAACAGAAGACAATTCAGATAAGCCAGGTACATGAGGTGAGTCAGCATCCACTCTGTTGACCTGGTAATGAACTTATCTCATCCCTAGATGAATCCAAATGGGATACACACAGTCTGTCTTCAGTGGATTAAGATCGTTACTTTAGATCTGGTAACCTCCAAGGCAACTGGAGTTTGAGTGCAAGAAATTTTGGGGAGAAGTAATTCTTGGAAGCACTGGTAGGGAAGTGAGAAAATCAGAAAGGAAGGGAAAGGAAGCCAGTCCAAGATGTGTCAGTGAGCAAGCTTGATTCTCTGGGCAACTGAGGTTCATTGGTGACCAAGGCCCCACCAGCCCGAATGGCGTTTGTCACAGTGGCAAAGGGAAGGTCATATGCATCAGGGTCTCACGCTGGCAATACATGCTCCAGCTAGGAGGGACAGGCATACTTTTCTCCTGGTGGCCAGAACTATTTATAATGCCTTTGTCTAAAGGCAAGGACATGAGGTCTTACAATTGCCTTCAGAAGGAAAAGCAGACACTTAGATTTATCATACATTGTGGTAGGGGGTCAATGAGATAATGTTTGTAAAGCATGCACCACAAAACCTGGCACATAGAGAATGCAACATAAACATTAGTCACTTAATTATAATGCTGGATGCCCCACTAGATCATGAGCAGTAAGGACAAGGGGAGAGACCTTGTTTCACTTCTGCTACTGAATGCTTACCATGCTCCCGGGCACTTTGCCATACAGCATCCTCACAGCATCCCCATGAGGTGGGTAACTACCATTTTCAGTCCTATTTAACCACTGGGGAAGCCAAGTCTTAGGGAGGTTGGGTATACTGCTGAGGTCCACAGAGCAAGTTTGCGACAGTGTGAGGATTTGGCTCCACAGTCTAATGGCTCCTATTTCTGTACTGCCAGCATCTAGCAGCAACCGTTAAGCAGAGTAAGGACTGGAGTGACTTTTCCTATCCTTGCAGATGCTTCAAACATCTTCCAGATATTCCTTCCTTTAGTGAGAACTGCCCTTAAAGATGGCAGTGCACCCGATTTCTCTACACTGTTGATCAAATCAACCTTCCTCATGCCATTTAATTACAGTATGTAACTCCAATATTTGGCATTATTCATCATCCAATTCCTTTTTTAAAAGATTTATTTTATTTATTTGAAAGAGTTACAGAGAGAGGTAGAGACAGAGAGGTCTTCCATCTGCTGGTTCACTCCCCAGATGGCTGCAATGGCTGGAGCTGCGCCAATCTGAAACCAGGAGCCAGGAGCATATTCCGGGTCTCCCACGTGGGTGCAGGGGTCCAAGGACTTGGACCATCTTCTACCGCGATCCCAGGCCATAGCCATAGCAGAGAGCTGGATCAGAAGAGGAGCAGCCAGGACTAGAACTGGCGCTCATGTGGGATGCCGGTGGTTCAGGCCAGGGTGTTAAGTGGTGAGCCACCACACCAGCCCCCATCATCCAGCTCCTTTTATCCTCTTCTTTTCTTGGTCAAATCCAGAGATCTTTTCTGATGTCCTGGTTATAATGGTCAGACACATTTTACAGGGATACCATCCAGTGACTTGTCTTCATGTCAAAGGTGGGCAGTAAGTTCTGGAAATGCCCTACCCCCCCTTAAAGTTTTAAGTGCTTACCATCACTGAAAATTATTCCCTTGGGATTTTCATCTCTTTCCTATCCTAGTCATCTTTTAAAAATAGTTGGAATTTCACTTCCAGTGCTCTCTGGGAATTTGACAACCTCTCCTTCCTTTTATTCAGTTGAAGGCTGAAAATATCAGCTGGCTCTTATCTGACTCCTTGTCTATTAACATTATGTTCTGAGGAAAGCCCCCTCCCACTCTGCATTTCTTTCCTTTTTTTTTTTTTTAACTTTTTTGGGGGTGGTGGTCATGGTAGACAAATAAAAATAATTCTGAGGTTATCTGAGAGCTGACATTCCATACAATAGCAATAAGAATGTTTTCCAAATTTAAAACTCTGATGGAGGAAGTGGGTTACAATAGGAGCAACCTTTGACCCTGACCAGTCATAATGGTTTCCTGGATTCAGGGATATTATGGGCTGGAGCCAAGGGTTGCAGCAGAGAGAGCACAAGATGTGTTAAACTTAGAACACAATGTGCAAGTTCCGGGTGGGGCTGTTGGAGGGGCATCTTTCTTTCTTTCCGGCGAAAATGATTCCTTTCCAAACAAGGAAGTGGCTCTTCCTCGCTGCCCAGCTAGTGCCCTTGTATTTGTTCAGCTGCTGACTTGAAGAGGACGTCTGCATTCCTGGAGATGTCAGTGAATCTGAAAGTCTTCACCCTAGGGACCATTGGTAGGGGTTATTCAATAATTTATTCCCAAACTATTTATTGGGTGACTACTGTGTGTTAGGTCCTGTTTTGATGCTGGGATGCAACAGTCAATCAAAAAAATCAGCTGAAAAACTTCATCCTTTGAAGCTATTAGTGGTAGCACAGTTCTTCAACCTTCACTTTGCTGACATGTTGGGCTGCTGTGGACAGCTGTCCTGTGCATTGCAGGGTTTAGCAGCATTGTTGATCTTCACCCAGTAGATGACCTTCCCAGTTGTGACCACCAATAATATCTTCGGATGATGCTAAATGTCTAGGGCAGGATGAAGGGGTTACAGAACTCATGTGTTTAGCCATGTCTGGTGGTGCTGTTCCATAGGCAGGGAGAACAACTACGTCTCTAAGGAGAATAGTTCCATACTATGAAGTCACACAACTGTAAATAGGTTTCATTGGACATTCTGTTGGAGAGAAATAATGGTGGGGGGGGGGGAGGAGATTGTTGTAATTTAAATGATGTGACTGGGTGAGTCCCTACTGAGAAAGTGACATTTGACAAAGACCTGAAGCATGCATGTGGGTCCTGTGGTCGTGGAGGAAGAAATTTCCAGAAGGAGATGACAGCCAGTGTGCGGAGGCCTTGGGCATGCGCACATGGTCTCAGAACCACCAAGGGAATCAGCCTGATGGAGTGGAGGGCGCTAGAGGACACGCTCAGCGAGGAGGCAGGAGGTAGAGGGAGGGTGTGCAGACTCTGCTGCTGTTGGGTCTTCATTACCATGGCCAAGGCTTCGCTTTTCCCTGAAAAGAAAGGAAATCATGGTCTCATTTTGAACACAGGCATGATATGAGCTGCCTCATGTTTTCACAAGATTACTCCTGGCTGTCAAGCCCTTGAGAAAACTTTAGTGGAAACAAGGACTAAAACAGGCATAGCAAGTCAAATTTTGACTTAAGGCAGCCAGAGGGCCTGGCCAGATATCTGTAGACTTCTACAGACATCATCCTTGCCTTCCATACTTACACACACACACACACACACACACACACCCCAGTCAGCTTGTAGTTGTCCCAGCATGGTGGGGAAATTTAGTTTGAATTTGCTTTATTTTCCCTATTACCTTTTATTGTTAAGTTCTGTCCCAGAAAATGTTCTGATTTTCATTTTGGAAACAAGCTGTTTGTCACCAGGAGACCAGAGGCCCTTGTAATTCTACTAATTAATAATGCATAATATAATGCGCTGAGGCCAGGGCTGTGGCATATCAGATAAAGCCACCGCCTGCAATGCCAGCATCCCATATGGGTGCCAGTTCAAGTCCCAGCTGCTCCACTTCCAGTCCAGCTCTCTGCTGTGGCCTGGAAAAGCAGTAGAAGATGGCCCAAGCCCTTGAGCCCCTACACCCGTGTGGGAGACCCAGAAGAAGCTCCCGGCTTCTGGCTTTGGATTGGCCCAGCTCCAGCTGTGGCAGCCATTTGGGGAGTGAATCAGTGGATTGAAGACCTCTCTCTCGCTCGCTCGCTCGCTCTCGCTCTCACTCTCTCTGCCTCTCTGTAACTCTACCTTTCAAATAAATAAATAAGTAAATAAATAAATAAAACAGTGGACCAGGACTGTGATAAGCGGGTTAAGTACCAGGGAGTCAGTCCTCCTGGGAGCAACCTCAACCAGTTGGGAATAAGATGCGATGGCTTTATATCCCTTATTTATGTCCCCGTGTCCTTCGCGGTCCCCAGCTTACCCACTGCAGTAGCTGCTCATGATACACTCCTTATTTGTGCTTTCCTCCCTCTCACTGCCTCCCCAGGCTACCTGGGATCACATCCCAGATAAACTACTGACACCTGAGTCTTCATCGCAGGCTCTGTTAGGCCAAGGCACGTGGAAACCAGCTCCTTAAAATTGTGACGGTCATGACGACGGGAATGTAGGACACTCAGCGTTTTGTCACATAGAGAGTAGGTGCTGGGAAAGATGGCAGCGATGATGGTGGTGGTGGTGGCGGTGGTGGCAGTGGTGGGAAGAAGAAGAGGAAGAGGAGAGACAAAGTGTATGACATGGAGGAAGAGGAGGAGGAGGTGGGGGAGAAAGGGGAAGGAGAAGGGGAAGGGATGAAGACTGGAAAAAGGAGGCAGGGATGAGGAAGAGGATGGTGAGGATGACCATGACAAAGCAAAGGCCCAGGTGGGCAGGTCAGTGGCAAATTGTGAGGGGGCAATAGGCATGGAACTGCTAGGACAGCTGCTGCCTGGATTCCTGCTGGAACCATCTTTCCTCCCCACTGCTGCTGCCTGAGCTCCTGGTGCTTCCTCTCCATGGTGGGTGTTCTTGAGAGTACAGCCTGGTGCCGCCTCTGCTCTCCTACTCCTCCTGAGCAGCTGGCGGTCAGCGAGTGAGCTTACAAAGCACCGATGCAGTTCAGGACTTGGTGGAGGGACCAGGACTCATAAAATTCATTCCTCACCTAACTAAGCTGTTCTTCCTTCATGTAGAAGGCCAAATCTTCCATCCACAAAGCTTCTTCTTGCAATTTTCCCCTTGGACTTCACCTTGGGTCCTGCCACTGGACCAATGGATGCAGAGTCTTGGGACAAGTCTGACTGTGCTGTTCTGAGACCGTTATTCAACTTCCTATGAGGGATGGCTTATTTCCTGTCTTGCTCATTCACTCCAGAACGTTCTGTTCTCAGGTCAAAAGCCCTGGAAGTGTCCAAGTCAACAAATGCCGTGATGAGTTTCAACTGTAGGGAACTTCCTGAATTCAGCTCTGGCCACTGGCGAAGGCCTTGAAGTTAACTCTTCGGAAGGCTGAGCTGAGAAGTGTTAACATTTGCTTCAGGAACTCTAGCAGGCCATGTCTTCCAAACCCCTCTCATCTACAGGTGAGCAAACAAGTCCCTGTGGAGTTACTTGGCTAGTAGATGCTCACAGTGACCTAACTCAGAATAAAACTCACTTCTGAGGACTCCCTTTGGCTTTTCTTTCTGTACCACTACCATCTCTTGTCCATCACGTCGTCAGAGATGCACCAGGGACATCTTTTGGTCAAGGACAAATCTTTTTGTGAACACTTGCTTCCTCATTTAGCTCTTTCACAAGTCTTATTTTTCATTTGTCAGATTAAAAAAAAATCAGAACAGCTCAATGCTTTAAAATAATGAAGCCACAAAGAAGTTCTATTTAACCTCAATGCCATGAAAGCATGAAAAACTACATGTTGACATTAATGGTAGATTTTCACTCTAAGGAAAAATGTAGTTCCTCTAATTGACTCGATGGAATCTATGCATTCTGATTTTTTTTTTTTAGTAAAATGGCCAATCTGGTGAGGAAGGAATGTTAGAGTGAAAAGAGAAGCTACAGAAAAAAGAGAGGGAAAAAAAATCAGAGCATAAATATATCAAAACTCTCCTCACTAAGACACTAGAAAGAGCTCACAGAGAATTCAAGAAAATTATATTTTTGGCACCCATCTGAACCTCAAAACTATTTATTTGTATTTGTTTATTTAAATGAGGGCTCTTCAAAAAGCTTGTGGAAAGTGTGTATTATGAAAAGACTGAGCATGGATGCCAAGATTATTTTTGCACCAAGATCAACCAATCTTTTAATCCCATTTTCCTCGCATACTTTTTGAGTCACCTCGTGTTTCCTGTTACTTCCCCTGAGAGGAGTTGAAGGAACAATGCCCTTCAGATAAGATTATACATACACAGTATTTATTGATCCTTTATCATTAGGCAATAATTACATCCACATTAACCCATTGAACTTGTTTATCAAAATATCTATAGGAGACAATGATTCTTCCTCCATTTATAATTGGTCAAATGACACCCACTTTCCTAAGATATGTCCACCTGGAACCTAAAATTGTAAGCTCACTTGGAAAAAGTCTTTGCACATGCAATTAAGACAGGGTCTTGAGATCATCCTGGATTATCTGGGTGGGCTTCAAGGCCAACGGGAAGGGTCCTCACAGGAAGAGAAGTCTCAGAGGTGAAGATCAGGGGACAACAGAGGCAGAGATGGGAGTGCTGCATCTAGAAGCCAAGGAGTGCCAAGGATCGTCCGTGGCCCCGGAGGCCAGGAGAGAGGCGCTGCCCACCCCCAGCCGGAGTGCCACGGATTGCCTGAGGCACTGCCCACCCCCAGAGCCTCCAGAAGGAGCCCCCGTGCACACCTTGGTTTAGTGCTCACCCCCGGACCTGAGAGAGAATAGACTCCTGCTGTTTTAAGCCCCCAGTTTGTGGCAGTTTTTGAGAGCAGTCCTAGGAAATGCACACGTTATCTGATAAATTTAGTCATCGCCATCCAGAAAGCATAAGTAACTCAGCTAAGTCATACAAACCAAAGTGCCAGAGCTGAGATTAAAATCCACAGATTAGCTGATCCTAACACCAGATGAAGATTTTTTTAAAAAGCATAGAATGCATGAAGAATTGCATGAGAAGCCCTTCCACAAAAGCTAATAGTAGCTCACAGGATGCAGGGGCTTGGGGTGACGTTCTTCTTTTACAATATTCTTGAAACTGCCCACATTTTAGAAAATGGTCCATATTGGCTACCTACTTCGCAGAAGAATTGGGCAATTTTGTTGAGGGACAGTGCATCCTAACAGAGTGTTAACTGAAACAGGCAGCCCGGCTCCGCCATTGTGGGCATCTGGGGAGCGAACTAGCGGATGGGAGCTCCCTCGCACTCTCTGACTCTCACGTAAATAAATATTTAAAGATACATGCAAGTTCAAAGATTCATCTTTGACTTCTACATCCACATCTCTCAGGGGAGCCTCGCTCATTAATTACGTCATTAACTCAACAAGTGTTTACTGACTTTGCCAGCTCTGCCGCTGCTGAAGATGGAAGGGCGATCCGTCGCATTCCCATCAGGAAACAGGACAAACTTGAGTTTTTCAGAGAGTTTGGGCAGCATTTAGGCGGAGCAGAAAGGGGAGTGCAGCTCCAGGAGCCGGCAACCTGGGGGCTTTTCCCACCTCTAGGCCAGAGGGAGAGGAGCAGAGAGCACTGTAGAGAGGCCTCCTTCCAAGAGCTGTGAGCTGCGTGGAGGACGTGCGGGGCTGGGTGGGGCTGTCCTGAGCCTTTGCAGGCGGTTTGGAAGCAGCCCTGGCTGGTAGCCCCACCACCTCCCAATGTGACAGCTGGTCACCGTGGCTTCAGACATGGACCAGTGTCCCCTAGGGGACGTAGAGCCTACATTGTATTAGAGGCCACGAGTAATGTAGAGTTGATGCCTATGAGATGACGTATATGTTTATACAAATGATGACGTCATTTCCTGTAGCTGTGCCCCCAGTGGAGTACCACCGGCCTGGAGGTGAAGCCGCAGTGTAGGGACTCCCCAAGGAGGTGGAATCCTAGTCCTCTACTTGTTTTCCCAAGAGGCAGGTGGTGCACTTGATGTTCTGAGCCAAGGGCACAGTGGTGGGTGGGGGTGGGGTGGGGAGGTGCAGCCGCTGCACACAGAGTGAACTTGGCCTGCAGGACCCCTGTCCTCGGGAGCTCACGTCCAGTAGTGACGGGCAGATGCAGAGGCAGGGAGCAGACAGTGCATATACAAGGCAACTGCTGAGTGTGATGAGGGGCATGAAAACAAGCAGCCGTCAGAATGGTGCGGCAGTGAATGGCCGAGCTCTCTGAGACAAAGGCTAAGCCAAGATGGGAATGACAGGATACCAGAGGTGTAGGGTGGGGAGGAGGGGGGTGTCAGGATGTTCCAAGCCAAGGCCACAGAGTGTGCAAAGGCCCTAACCTTCTGCATGTGTGTGCATGTTTTTGCTGTACTACTGGAGGTGATTGATATGGACTGTCAGCCCTCCATAGCGACCATGGGTTCCACATAACATAGATTCCAACCACAGGTAAAAAAAAATACTCAAAGAACTGCATCTGCACTACTCACGTGCAGACTATTTTCTTGTCATTATCCCCTGAACAGCATAGTAGGTGACAGCTGTGTACACAGCATTTACATTGTGCCATGTGTTGTAGTTAATGTGGAGTTGCTTTAAGGCAGGCGCTGTGTGCTGGCTTCAGCAAGTGCTACGCCATTTTACATACAGGACTCAAGCATCCAGACTGTGGTGTCTGCAGGGAGTCCTGGACTCAACCCCGCGTGGATGCTGAGGAATGACTGTATAGTAAGATACACAGATAGGAAGTGCGCAGGTTGATGAATTTTTGTAAGTAAACTCACTTCGTGAAGACTCAGGTATCAAGCATTTCCCTCTCCCCCGAAAGGTCCGTGATGCCCCAAAGCCTGCCCCGTCCTCTACTGTTTTCACTTTTATTGTCTGTCTCTGAACTTCATTTAAGTGGAATTATGCAGGATGTAGTCTCCTGTGCCTGCTGTCTTTCATTCAGCATGAGGTTGTGTGATTCCTCCATGTAGTGGGCTACATCCACACTTGCATGGGTATTAATCTGTAAGTTACTATAACTGGATACCTGAGACAGGCTAACCTGATGAAGAAAAGTTCATTTAGCTCGTAGTTTTGGAGTCCAAACAGTGTGGTCCAGGCGTTGGCAAAGGCACCCATGGGTGGAGTCACCTCACAACAAATGGCTATGATGGGAGTGAGTGACCACCCTCCCAGACAGGAAGCCAGGGAGAGCCTGGTCACCACAAGTCTTCCAAGGACACACCCCCAACTGACCTATGGTCTTCCCACTAAGCTCCAACCTCTTTAGGTTCCCACCACATCATCACTGCCACATGGAGGCCCAAACTCCCAACGCGTGTACCCCAGTTGACAAGCCAAAGCAAGACTTCATTGCTTGATAAGGCTGAAGGGTGCTCTGCTGTACGGGTGTGCCACTGAGTGTTTACCCATTCTCCTGTTGATGGCTGGCTGGGTCATTTGCAAGCTTTTTGTTTTGTTTTGTTTTTAAAGATTTATTTATTTATTTGAAAGAGTTACAGAGAAGCAGAAGCAGATTGAGAGGGAGGGGGAGAGATGTCTTCCATCTGCTGATTCACTCCCCAAATGGCTGCTATGGCCAGAGCTGGGCTGATCCAAACCCAGGAGCCAGGAGCTTTTTCCAGGTCTCCCACGTGGGTGCAGGGGCCCAAGGACTTGGGCCTTCTTCTACTGCTTTCAGGCCAGAGCAGAGAGCTGGATGGGAAGTGGAGCAGCTGGGACATGAACCAGTGCCCCTATGGGATGCTGGCACTGGCTTTACACGCTATGCCATAGTGCCGGCCCCTCGTCTGCAGTTTAAGCCTCTTTCAAATACAGTTGCTGAGGATGTTTGTATGCAGGTCTGTGTGTGGACACAGGCATCCATTTCTCTTGGGTGCCATTTTGGGGTTATCGAGTAGCTGTATCTTTAACTATTCAAATGTATGAACAGTTTCCCATTAGATTTTGGTGTGAAGCCGGACTGGGGAGCTACAAGATGAGAGGGTTTCCAGTGGAACCCTTCTGCCTTGGCAATTATGTTCCGTAGCCGTCTCCCTCCTTCACTCCTAACCCTTCTAAACACACTGAAGCGTTCCTTAATTTGCCATGGAGTTATCCTTCTCCCTCTGGTACCCTGTGCCCCGGGACCATTGTGCTCAGGGATTGGACACGTCTACTGGGTACCTGCACAACCTTGGCTAGCCCAGCCCCGCCTCCCACCGCCTCCTCTTCCTCCGGGGCTGTGTGTATTAAATCGCAGTGCAGGGACTAATTCTTTGCAGCTTGCAGGTGGCTGCCTCCATCTGAGCAGACAGGAGGGCGCCCTGACACACAGTTAAAGATCACAAGCTTTGATAACCTGCCTTTCTGATTTATGATCGGCCATGTCTCCACGTTCACCTAATGAGGGGAACGCGGAGTGTCAACCTGTTTATTAAATGCGCAGAACCATGTGTGAGCCGGACCGAGGCACGAAGTCAATCCTATTTTCATTTATTCTATGTGTCCCCCTCCTCTGTTCGCTCTGGCCCCTCTCCCCGAGACTGTCAGTCTGCCAAGCTCTTTCTTTTCATCTGCAAAGGAGAGGATTTGAGGACAGACCGTTTGTGGAGACGGTCGGTCGGGGGCCACGATGTTTGCACTTTCCTACTGATTTCATAGGTGTTTGGAAGTTAATGATGGTCGGCACCTCATGATTCTTTCCTGTATGTCAAACAAAGACATGAAAGGGAAAGTGGGCAGTGCGGAGAGGCAAGGGGTGCCGGCTGGAGGACAGACCCGCCCAGGGCTTCCTCTCCATCACTCTGGCCACGGAAACATTGCTGAGTCCTGATGCAGATGGAAGGCGGATTAATATTCCCGAAGTTGTCAGCGTCTAATGAAGTCTTAATTCATCTCCTTTAATTCCCTTTGAAATGAAGAAAGCGCACAAATCAAAATAACGGATGGCCCGGCTGCTTTAATCTCTCCTCTTTTCTCACCCCCTCTCCCTTGCAACTTGGTCACTGTCATTTTCTTAATCTCCGGAGATTCGCCCCGATCCCTTTCAAGTGGCATCAGCCCTGCCTCTCCGGTTTGGTCTTCTGGACGTGGCATAAATATTTCTGCCTGTTTGAGGCCCCCGGCTGCATGCTGACCTTGGACATGGCTGGGGGAGGGTTCGGAGCTGGCCACTCTTGAAGCTCACTTGGCAAGAAGAGCTCTTGTGGGCTCTGCCTTGGGAACCCCACAGAGCTCTTAAAACTCGTGTATGGCGGGCCAGGGTGGCGGCGGGGCAGGGAGGGGGGTTGCCTCAAGCACCCTTTACCAGAGCTGCTGTCCGTGCTGTTCTGCCTGCACTCTCTTGTGATGTACGGCCACACTCGCTGCACGATACCCCTCATTTCCTTAAAAATAAATACCCCCGGGAGCAGGTTTGCCAGTAGTTTGATTTTTTTCTTTCCATTCTTATTCAGTCCCTGTGTCTTGCCCAGTGCACAGCTTAGAGTGGATGCTGTTTAAATATCTGTGGAACGAATGAATGACAGCAGGGCCAAGGCCACACAATAAACCAGTTATTGTGAATTGTATAATCTGTAACTTAAACTTGGTCTTGATTTGTTTTTGTATTACCTGGTAATGTACACTAGTGGGACACCTATGGCGGGGACTGGCATCCATGGTGCTATGCCCATTCTCTCTTTCTTAGCTGGGCACTAGTCTCCTGGCCTTCTTTTCAGCAAAATGTGGTCAAGTAGGTTCTGGCCACTGAAAAGTAACTGGTAGTATTGTGTGGTTAATGTTCTTGAAAGACAACGAAACGAGCTCTTTGCCTTTTCTCTTTCTCCTTTCCTGTGGCTGGAATGTAGACCTGAGGGATGGAGCTCAAGCAGCCATAGTGGATTATGGGGCTAGCAGTAAAACCATTAGGGCTTCTTGTACAACAAGAAGGGATTTGGCTGCAATGCAGAAGCCTATAGAGGGAGGCAAAGAGGATGTCAGGTTTAGTTGTGGGTGTACAATTGACAGGACCCTGAAGGTTGCTCCAGTGGGGGTAGGAGAGACTGGGACATGACCAGGAGAGGAAGGGCCAGGGTGACAGGTAGGCAGATGTTGCATGGGTCTCGGGGGACGAGGACGCTGGGTGGGGCCTGGGTGGTGGAAGTGTGAAGGTGAAAGAGACCTGGAAGGGAGAGATAGAGTGGCAGAACCCACAGAGCCGGCGATTGTTTGCTGGTTGTATTGGAAAGTGAGAGAGGAAAACATGGAGAGCTACCAGGCTGCCAGCTTGAGCCAGGTGGGGGCGCTGTTCCCTGTGACAGGTGGGAAGATGGCACGTGCCCGACCCTTGAGTCTGATTGCCCATGGGGCATGCACCATGCAGGAGAAGGGTAGAGGAGAGCCTGGTAGTGTAGACAGGTAGACAGGCCTGGGCCCGGCTTCTCAATGACACCAGAAAGAGAAACTGACATAACCCGTGCAGAGGAGGCATGCACCCCGTCTTAACATGCATGTCCCCCAAATCTGCCATCTGCCATGTGTTCTTCAGAATGGTCCATGATGCAAAACCAGATTGCCTGTGGCTCTGAGGGCCTTTCAAGGGAGAACGTGGTACTCCAAGGCAACGTCAGCTACTCCCCGGGTAGAAAGGCTAAAAAGGTGTTCACATGTACCCAGGAGGACAATGCACACTTGTTACATTCTGGCCATGCTTTTGGCACTGCCTGCATGCTGGTGATTTGACCACAGACACAGGGGAAAGCTAATCCCTGCTTTCCTGGAGGTCACGGTCTCCTGGACGCTCCTGAGCCCCTCTGTCCTCGATGGATCTGAGTCACCCTTCAAGAGCTTCCAAAGGCACGTGAGGGTGGCTTCTTCAGATTGGGAAGATTTGCAACCTCAGAGAGAGCTTTATTAATGCAATAAATATTATACATCTCTCCTATGGTTCAGGCACCGTGGTGGACCAAGAGTGGGCTTAGGGAGAAAATATTCGAGCTTCTGTATCTATCAATCTCTC